CCGCACATGTGCTGGAGAGCAATATAGATACTGGAAGCAGCTCTTTGAGGCAAATATACCTGCGAGCGAAGAATATGACCTTTAGAGCCGCAGTGAACATAGCCTAATATCAATTCGTATTGCCATTTTAACAGTCAGACGTCAGGAACATAAATCTAGGCTACTCTGCAGTATTAGCTCTGAGAGCCTAACATGAAAATGGCAAAAGCAACTACAATTTATATACCTAGTGTGGGATCACCACAGGCAAAATATTCCTAACACAGAAATAAACATTTCCTTAGAGGGCATGCCTCATGATCAAAAAAAAGCTTAGATAGTTGCATAATATTCCTTGCTGTATACGAAACTTTGCCATTACACAATGAACGAAAAAAGAAATCTGACTTTGAAAAAGATGTTCGTTGCAACTCTCATAAGCCCAGGCAAGTTTATGCCTTTAAGCCGACATAACGAAAAGTAATACTCTAATTCTAAAGTTTTGAAACATTCTTACCATGGCAGAACACTTTCAGTCATTGCCACCATTATTTTCAGTGCTACAGCGCCAAAAGCTATGAAACAACGTTCATTTTGACGCGAAATTTGGCATCCTGTTATCACACATGATTTGCAAGTTACATTGCCAGCACGTTTAATTAATAAATACTCGACAAAACTCTATACTAGAGTTAGTAATCCCTTTTTCCAGCTATATTTTTCTGAATAATACCAACAAGCTATATTTCCAAAAAATGGCATGAAAAGATAATAAATAAAATCGATGAATAACATTGAGTGGCACTGGCTCCATCCATTACAGTGGCTACACCTTGTATTGGTAATGACACTGGATCATTAGCAATCATGTGGGAAATGACAAATGCGGCAGAAAGCAACATAGGTCTGCCATTTTTGACAGCATATCCGAACACCTTTTTCGTTCTGAGGTGACCAGAAGAGAATACCATGCTGCCCCAACTTTTTACCAGTCACGGACTTATTGCCTGTTTCTCCTCTGGTTGCATCAACGCCGATCGAGTTCGATTAACTTCTTCCTCACGGAAATTCGCGAAGAAAAGGGTTGTTCCTTCATCGGAGTGGAACCATGCATAAGAGGTTCAAAGCCAACATCATTATCACTGGATTACCACTCCACAGACGTGTTTCGAAGCATACACAAAACGTTATAATTATTCCCTTGTTTAACATATTTTGTTCTTCGGGATAAGCGAATTGTTTGCAGTGCTCGTAATTAAGCAGGTTTTGCTGATTTTTCAGTGCAAAATGGCATTATATGCAAAAATATTAATAAAGCTGATACAGGTAGCTCTAGAAATAGTTATACTGGTAAATGTTGGGCCCAAACTGTCCGGCTTGACAAATGAGCGTGAAGAAAGAAGATATTGAAAACATGATCGCCTGATTTTCGACTAGCCTTTGCTTTCAATCCTTGCCATTATTTCGTAATTAACATTTGCAACATTCTTATAAAGACAAGTTAAACCAGGAGTTCAAACTATCTTGCTTTCGTAATAGTACCAATTAATTTCTTATGACGGCTAACGGTAAAAAATTTTTACTTTTCGCACATAAGTTTCGAATTTGCTACATAATGCGACCCGCTATATGTATTTGCATTTAAAAGACAGTGACACTGCATTTTAGGATACTGACACAAAAAAAGATTGGAGTTGCAGTAATGCTGCTTGACTAAATAAGCGTATCACAAAGTGGCAAAGTCATGCCAACCTAAGGGAAACTGATTTCATATAGTCGCATACTTTCAGACTTTCTTCCTTAATGAACGGAATCAAAAACGTGAGTCAGAGCACAGACGAGCTCCTCGAATAGAGCTATGCATAGCAGAAGGTAGCCAGTGTTGTTCTGTGTTCACAAAAATTAAGTGTATAATTGCATTTACCTGTTACATTTTCAAACCTTGTAAATTCGTGGTTTACAAAGTTACCGATTTTAGTCAGGAATAAGTTCTGCAAGCGCTAATTGCATTAGCGGAAAGCGCCGAAGCGGGATGTCAAATAAGCCGACTGAATTAGCGATGGAAGCAGCCTGAACAACAACAGTCAAACGGTGTGATCATAAATCTATCGTGCCCTGTCACGTACACACAAGAAATCCAATCTTCCCCCATTGCTCGCAGATCAGTAATTTTCAACCTCTTTTCTGTTTGCCTGCACCGAAAGACAGTAGGAACGATTCCTCGTTCAGGAGAGTCAAAATAGAAAAATTTTTTGCCTTCACATTTGAACCTCGCATCTCTTAATTGCAACTCGATGCTTCACTTGTTCCGTCATGAGAATCCAACCGAATTCCACTTATCCTAATCCCCATCGATAACGTCGTAGTTGGTCAAAAACGGCACAAGCAACTGTCAATAAAAGTTTTTGCCTGAAAGATAGTTAAATTACTGTGCATAGAATAACAAACTTTTTAATTAAACGAAACCAAGACAAGGCCTGTTAATACGTTGCATAATATATTGGCCGTACAAAACGTCAGGCTGCGAAATGCTCCATAATATTAGGAGATCTGAGTGGAGATTATGCTGTATGCTAAACTTTTATTACCATGTCTCGGTAGATTAACTTGAGTAACGCCTCTGCTAGTAACCTATTTCTTCTTCACTTAGTCATAGTCTCAGCCACTCGAGAACCAACAATAGGTCAGTTCTGCACAAAATATGATCTTTCAAACGCTTAACTTTAGTTTATTTCCTGGAATATAATAAGAAGTTCTTGATTCAGGCCCATGTTAAATGGTCCTTAATAATCTGTTTGCATTTACTAGCAGTAGAATAGTCGATTTACCACCAAACTATTTAATCATCAATTAGCACAAAACTGAATATTTGTTTATAACTGATTCTCAAAAGTCATAAATTCTGTGCCTCTCCTGTTGCGGATGAATATGTACTTGCGCAAAAAAGTGATTATAAGTAATTTATACGGAGCTTATATGACGCTAGCGCAAACCTTGATGTAGAATGGCAATGAAGCGCCGTTAAACCAAACTATGGAATTCACGTTTCACCTGCTATACGAACTCATACATCGCCTCTTGTACCCTCTTCACAACAGTGATGAGACAGGATTGTGAAAAGCTGTTTAAATGTTGTTGCCGGCAGTGAATGCTTTGTTAAACAGATGAATAGATAGTTTTCTCCCTTGGGCGAAAGATTCGCTATCCATATAACACATTGTTTTTCCAAAATATTACATGGCAATGTTGAACAAATTTACGGAATTACAGCGGTTCCAAGGCACCTGACGGTACGTTCGCTGCCGCGGCTGGTCATAAATGAGTATACCTATCTGAAGGTCACTTAACGTAGGTGCGGTAGTAATAACAGTCAGTAAGCTGAAAGCGCAGTATAGGACGTTTAACTTTGTCATGCATTTTGCCATTTCACGGTTGATACTTCGCGATGACTTTAGTCAACTGTGAGGTGGATCAACGCAAACGACTACTAAGTGGTGAGCATCGTGTAAAACAGCCTTCTATACCGTGGCAATGTCAGGACATCATGTGGTCTCTTTTACAGCATTGGCTTTTAATTTGCAATTGAATGAATCGTAGTCCATTATTAGGCTGGATAGATCAAAATTCAGTGATATGAATTCTTTGTGTAAGGGAATAAACAGTTAATACAAAATAATTTACTCCTCGATTCGCATTAGGCACTCAAGCACACAACCTAACTAGTAATCCACTGCATCATTAGCCCCTGCATCTACTCCACTAAATTGCGTTACAGAATACAAGAAAAAAATTTTAGAGCAAAATTCCCTGTACATGCAATGGATAGAGAATATGCTCGTGATTTTGACAATTTTTAAATATAAAGCTTAGTCCTCAGGTAAATGCATTTAATTCATAAGACCATGGTTAAAAAAACTTCGATAGAGCACGCCACTGAGATATGATTTATGTGGCGTGATCTTCACAGCGGTGGCGTGAACGTGGCTCTAACGATAAGATCTTTTTTTGGCTTTGATTGTCATATAAAAAGGCGGTCGATAGATTATGGGAACAAAGCTTTTGTAGAACGTTGGCAGAAAATCGTTCTTGGCCATGTTCCGATTCCTTGCATTTACGGCTTTGGTGTCGTTCGTACTCGGCCAATGTCCAGCTCCAGATGAGACGGAAAAGAAGATTTTCTTCGAAAAATGCCACAAAGGTAACAAGTCTCTTGCTAAAGATTCCGTGAAGTTTATCGGCAGTTCAGAAGTCGTTCCTTCTTTTAGGTGTGAAGCATACCCTAGAGGTCAAGAAGGTAGTGTTAAAGAACAGTGAAGGACAAGAGGTGTACCCTATTGATGTAAAGAATGCCCTCAACATTGAAATGCAAACGGTCAACTCAGGTAGCATTATAAACACCATACGCGCCGACGTGGACATCCAGTGGTGGGGAAAGAACTGGTTCTCTGGTTGCGGCTGGCACGACTTACCAACTTTTGGATTACTGTATATTTATCTATTATCATCCTTCAGCATTTTCCTACTAAGCTATTTTCAGACACAACCTTGATGAGTGCTATTCGTGTCCGATTAAGAAAGGAACATCGAACATGAATATAAAGGTTGATATGTCGAAATACTCGCAAATTCTCGGCGCAATTGCTGGAGGTGTAAGTTAATTTAATAGAACACTACCAAATGATCTATAAAGTGAATCTTAAGTTTTTGATACTGACCACCGGGGATATAATCAAGGCATATGTGACCTCCCAGACTAATAATTTGCCCATACCGGTATGGGCGGAAACTGATAACCGCTAACCCGGCGATTCCTAGATTTCAAAGGATTATCGTTATGCCTCGTCGCATACTTAAACCTTTGCATTGCCTCCTGCAGCTTTACGTTTGCACCGTAGTACAGTTTAAGACTGATGCTTACGTGATGACCCGTTGGAAACTACAGATAACCGGTTCGAACTGAACAGCGAGTTAATTTCAGGCAGTGTTAGCACGAGCTGATTACCGCTCTGGAGAGCAGCGCATATCGTGATAAATACTCTATGCAAAAATATAGACATACATACAAATTTACATTAAATTTACAGGACGATGCCTCAGTTTCTGGAGGGAGGTCATCAGCAGCACGGGGATATTCAATGTCCAGAGTTTCTTCCCGCAGGTCTCGACGTGCTCTATTTCTTTCTCCTTAACTGGTATCTGATAATTCATTACTCCTAAGGTTCCTGTGGGCATTATGTGTTTATACGCATTTAAGTGTATAGCCTATCCAGAGTCAAAAATTTTCACAAATCTGAGGTTAAT